CGTTATTCCGCCAATCTATCCTGCTCCACAGGAGATGGCAAAGGAATAAATGCACATGGATGTGGCCCTATTCCCGAGGGTCATTTAAACACTGCACATAACTGACCATTTTGGTCCCTGCAACTGTATTGCTGGAAACCCGTGTTTGCCAAGATGACTTCTCCATTGTACAACGGGAATCGTGGTGGAGCTCCCTGTTTCGTCACCTGGCAGACTCGGTAACCAGCAAGGGTGTACGATTGGCGCATCTCCGACACTCGGTGATGTTCTAGTGACCTCTGCGACCTTTTCCTCGTGTGACTCTGAGGATGCTGATGGAAACCGCGATAGACTCCTCCTGACATGCTTCAAATACTTTCAGCAGCAGGCCATCCGATTCGCAATTACACTGCCCCCCCTTCCCCGTCACGGGCGACAGTCTTTCTTCTTAAAATCCCGCAAATGGCATCCAAACCCCTAGAATTCTGAACGATGCCTAAGGAGTTGTTTACTGTCTGCCCTTTTTACGCAGTTCCATTACTGCCAATGCCACATGTTCTGCATCATAGCTGCTCTGCACCAAGAGGGAGTTAAAAGCTATTTACCTATATTTCCCTTATAAACCTGACCTGACCTGACTTGAATATTTGCAGAATTACTACAATCCAAAGATCCCTTGGTGTTAATGGGATTCAATCAGTTGCTAAAGTTTGACACTAGACTCGTGGAGGTAAACGTGAATTCAGAATTTCACACGGTTATTTACTTTTAATATGCCCCAATGAACGCCTGGTGCATTTCTTGTTCTTATAGGTCAGACAGAAAGTACTCCGCTGGCCGCGTGGACCGAATTCGACAAGATTCCCTCAGCACGCACTGATTCTGTCACCCCGCGAGGCGTGGAGGGCATATTTAAGATTACCGGACTCCAGCCTGGCACTGCCTACGAGGTGAGTCTGGTGGGTCAGAATTCTGTCGGCCAATCCGATCCCTACGTAGTCCTCTTCAGAACCTCGGAGATTCGGG